TGCCAGCCGGCTGCCCCCTTCCAGTCTGGCTGGTCTGTCTTCGCTTGCTGCACCTCCCCAGCTGGGAGAGGGCACCCAGCCCCACAGAGCCCATTGCCCCCAAGCTGTGCCTGAGAGAGCGGAGAGGGTAACGCGGGCAGGAGGAAAAGGGAATCTCCTCCCGGAGCCCTGAGCACCAACACCAGTAAGGACTACGGGGACTGGTTTGCTGAAAGCTGTCCTTGGGGCTCCAAATGGTGGCAGCCAGACCCGCTTTCCAGGCATGGTGACTGTGACTGTGACTTGCTGACCCAAGATTTGTGGCAGGCCAGGCCCTAAATCAACAGCCCAGATACTTCAGTTGGGTACTTTCCAACGTTTTGAGTATACATACTAGTAATCAGCAGAACTGGTCCTCGGGGACAGTGAACGTCTCAAATGCTTATATATATAGCCATATAAAGTAGAAGTATAAAGAAGATGCTCATTTTATTGCTTCTAAAGAAGTATGTTTCTAGCTCCTTTCACAAAGATCGCCTTGAATAGGTATTTGCAATTATATCTGTGCATATATATATAATTGCGTGAGCTGTGTCTGTATAAAATGCACTGCACAGTGTAAGGCAGTGAAAACGTAAAGAAGTATGAACTCTTCGCCAAACATGAGGGTTGAGCAGTGAGATTTTCCGACAGCAGTGCAGGCTCCATGGCTCTTTTCCTCCTGAGTTCACCGACTGAGCTGTGACCAGAGCAAGGTAACTTGCACAAAGAGAGGTGCTAAGGAAGGGAAGCCCATGGGGAGTCACCTGCTTCTCTTCCCAACAACCTGTTGCTGAGCAGAGAAGGTGGATGGAGTCTCCTAAGCACTGTAGAAAACATGGAACGGATCTTCTAAAGCTCAGGAAATCAAGTGGTTAGAAACAGTTGTTATCACCTTGATAACAGATGTTGGAGAAGTTTAAACAAACTCTTATACTTTCACGGGGAATGAAATATTATTTAAGTCCAGATCAGCTAATTCTCATTAACCAACACAAACTTCAAAATCAACTTATTTTATCATCCCAACAAGGTCAAAATGTGTCAGAGGTCAGAAGGTAGGTAGTAAAACAGTCATAAGTCTATTCTATAACCAAAGAAGAAAATTACATTTTAACCATGCTGCAAATATCTCATGGTTTTTTCAATCTAAAAGGATAACTACAAACTTGACGGCAAATATTTTACAACATTAAACACTTCTGAGATTCTTTGACTACAGATGATCTATTGGCTGCAAATCTCCAAGTCTTGGAAGGAGGTATGTCAAATGTTTAATTTTCTCTTTAGTCAGAGTCATGAGGAAAGATGAGAGAGAAAGAGAGAGAGCAAATATCCCTGGTATAAACTGTCTATGGGAAAGGCGCTGATCTTCCATAAGGAAAATATTTTGTACAATGCTTAAAAATTACTCTTCCAAGAGTACTCGCATGCTAAACGGTTTGCTTGGAAATGTATTAATATATTAACAAGCACAATTCCATCAACACAGGCAGATCACAAGGAAGATATCATCATAGGTGCCGATCTGGGATTGGTACCACCTTGTCCCTCAGTTAAATTAAGAGATGGGTTCTTGTGGCTCTTCAATAGATTTGCCATCCTTCGTGATTTGTAGTATAAATCAATGTATGATCCCCTTCCTGTGATGCTGCCTATTCATAAACAAATTCACTTCAGCTTTTAGTAGTAATATGGTGGGAAGGAATTTTCAGTGTACTGTTGAGCCACATCCTGGCTTTAGACATACCAGCTACATCAAGCTCCTTAATACCAGTGTCTTTAGTGTATATGAGAACAGGGAAAGGGACAGTCATTACAGCACTAGCACCCCATTACTGACAAATGAAGATCCACTTTTGTCCCTCGGTAAACAAAGCTCACTTCCCACAGTGACAAGCAGGCAGCTGATGAATAGCGATGATGTATTGCGAAGGAAAGACAGCAGATCGCCACATTTTTAAAAGTTTCCTTCCCAGCACCTTGACAGCTCTTGTTAGGTCCCCCACTTTGACCAGTTCACCAGGCTGTGTGCACGCTCTGTCACAGGCTGTTCCCAAATGTTTGGTGAAGAGGAGGGTGAGGAGCAATCCAACAGCAGCTGGCAGCTGCTCAAAGGGGAGTTGCATAGATAACAGAGCGAAACACTCCTCAGGAGTGGCAATAGGGGACGTGCAATGGCCACAAGTTGCTTTTTTGGAGGTTCAGAGGACCTCCAGAGTCCCATCCAGCTAGCATTTCTATGACTCTGTGATTTCAGCCCAAGTGTGATAGCACACACTGCTGTATGGTGGAGGTGATTTCTAATGGTTGATTGATGCTTCTGGAGCTGGAGTGGTTAGTCACTTCTGGTACTGTTACCAGACTTTTTACAGTACATACCTGCTCCTGTATCTGCAGGTACTTTCAGAAACACCAAGTGAAAACAACCCAAAACCTGAGGAATAGGGTTAAGGACTACAGAAGAGTTGCGGCAATGTAATTATAGAGCAGAATTACCTAATGTACCAATATCTGTGTCTCAATACATTTCTTAAGAACAGCAAGCTTTCTAAAGAAAAAACAGTCAATATTTCTCCAATATGCAACTGCATTTAAAATTTCTTAGCAAGCCTTGTCTTTAAAAACATGTTTTATTCTATGGAGACTCTAACTTTAATCTCAAATTTTGCTGGCTACTTAGTTTTTTGTTAAGAGTATGGTCGTATTCATATCATGTAAAATTACACAGAGTGTTGGTTTTATGCTCTGATTTTGCATTACAGAGTAAATTTTTACAAATGGGACTGCACCATGGGTAGCAAGTGAAGCTTGCAGGATAAAGAAAATTCAGATTTTGCATTTTGATAGCTTTCTAAACTTCTGGACTAACCCGAGTCCTCAACAAAATTTAACCTCCTCCTCCTCATAAATCTAGAACAGCACCAGTGGATTTTGACAGGTGTGCAAATGAGCTGGAAATAGCATGTACTTTAAAAGCTTTGCTTTGCCATTTCATCAATCGCAGCAGCTGCTTATTGCGTCGTATACTATAGCGCAATAGAGATTATCGCCTAAATAATTAGCAATGATATGATGGCATAGCGCAGTGACACAGTGGGGGTATATATAGTAAAAACGTGTGGGTACTTTAGAACCTGACACGCGTGCCTCTTGGCTCCCCTTGTCCCCCGCACATGTGAGCCTGTGCCTGTCACCTTGCGATGCTGGATCCGGAAGCGCGGCGCGCTACCGCGTGGGAACCCCGGGGGTCTCGCGTGTATGAGCAGCTGGGCAAAAAATGGCTTTCTTACTTGAAGCCAGAAATCTCACAGGTGTCTGGATGGCCACGACAGAGAGCAACCTGAATCCGAGGCGATAATTGGCTCCGGTCATTCGAGCCATGTTCTGGAAATTCGGAAGCTGTGAAGCGGTTTGATATTAACGGTGTCTGTAGCCCCCCTCAGCAGCAAGCTGAGGCCCAAAAGCAGAGGTCCTGAGGTACGTGAGAGCAGGCTTTCACACAGCATCCGTGGCCTGGCTGCAAGCAGGCACCACTGAAAATCTCCTGAGCTACCTCACGAGCGAATCTCTTCAAACATTTGCTAAATCTTTCTTCGTCTGGTCCGTGTCTCTCTGGGCTGGATTCCTTGGTGTGAGGCTGTCAGTGGTAGCGCTCTCCTGGCACATCTGGAGGAAGCACTTGTCACAGCCAGTACTGTAGTTTAGCAGGCTCTGATTGCAGCGGCGAGGCCATCCAGCACACGAAAGACCCGTGGGTCTCCGTGGCAGAGGTCAGGCAGAATGCACTATGGTCAGGAGAGACAGTACCTCATGACCTGACACGAACATTGCCTTGATGTCAAAGGAAAACACTGGTTTTCAGGAACAAATGACTTTGTTCCATCCCTCCTTTGTGTCTCTTTTGTACATACTGTTACTATAATGGACTAAATTTCCGAAGGCTTTGGAAACCTGTTTTCAACATCTGTCTGAGGTCACAAGCAAGAGGGATTTTAATGATTAGATTATATTGGGTGGACGTTTCCAAATGTAACAAAACTGCTTCCCATGTGGGTATAATTGGCAGCCTCCACAGAGAAGCACGGTGGACATAATCCTTTTTTAACCAAGACAGACAGCAAACGTAATATGTCTTGCAATTTCTGAAGCCATTTTTAACTTCTGTAATTCTATGCTGCACTAAAAGGGAAAACATACGGAGTGAAAAAGGATGGCTTGGTGGAACCAACACATCACGCCAAAAAAGGGCAAAGTCTCTGCTTGACATCAGTTGTCAGTCCCAGCTTCACAATGGAAACTCAGTGGAAGCTAGAGGTACCACAATTCCCACAGCTACTCCCTCAGAACCTTCCTTTTTTTGACTTGTTTATATTTTATCACTATATATATAGGAACAGACGCTGCGTCTAATTTTCATTAGCAAGTCTAATATTGGTCTGTGTTTATATGCTAGATCCAGAACAGAAGCCATATGTCTAGCAGGATGATTCAGATCCCTGAGATCTTAAAAAAAAAAAAGAGCTTGATTTAACAAACAGAGAGAAGTTTTCTAGGAAATGTCAAAATTATTTTGCTTTGTATGGAAACTGTTTTCATTTTCCACTTCATGAGAAAGTCCATACAACTTACAGTATTGTTAAAAAACTGTTCTTGAATCCTTTGTGGAATCTGGGAAGCCAAGATATGTGAACAATATTTTCAAACATGATTTCCATTTAAGAATTGATTTAAGAAAACTCATGGACTTTTTTGCTGTCGGAGTTACAAATGTTTATGTCAACAGCTTTTTTCTCAAAGCTCAGTTTTGAAATAATATGGTTTTCATTACAATGCCTTCCCTGTTCTCATTTCCATCAGCCCCACTCCTAAAGGCCTGATTGTTTTGCTCCGTCATTAGGGATGCTAAGAAGTTGAGTTGTTGTTGGGTTTCCTTCCTTCCTTCCTTCCTTCCTTCCTTCCTTCCTTCCTTCCTTCCTTCCTTCCTTCCTTCCTTCCTTCCTTCCTTCCTTCCTTCCTTCCTTCCTTCCTTCCTTCCTTCCTTCCTTCCTTCCTTCCTTCCTTCCTTCCTTCCTTCCTTCCTTCCTTCCTTCCTTCCTTCCTTCCTTCCTTCCTTCCTTCCTTCCTTCCTTCCTTCCTTCCTTCCTTCCTTCCTTCCTTCCTTCCTTCCTTCCTTCCTTCCTTCCTTCCTTCCTTCCTTCCTTCCTTCCTTCCTTCCTTCCTTCCTTCCTTCCTTTCCTGCCCTCCTTCCTTCCTTCCTTCCTTCCTTCCCTCCTTCCTTCCTTCCTTCCTTCCTTCCCTCCTTCCTTCCTTCCTTCCTTCCTTCCTTCCTTCCTTCCTTCCTTCCTTCCTTCCCTCCTTCCCTCCTTCCCTCCTTCCCTCCTTCCCTCCTTCCCTCCTTCCCTCCTTCCCTTGCACTGTGTAGGAAGCAATGCCCTGAGCAGGGAAGAAAAGCACGGGCTGGCTGCAGGGCGGGCAGGAGCGTGTGGGTCCCATGGGTCTGGCAGTGCCAGGGCAGAAGCCTCACGGCGAGTGCCCGGCTGGCCCGGCGGCAGGAGGGCTTGGCTGCGCTGGTGGCTGCTGGAAGCTGGCGGTGATGTGGAGTCAAGCGGAGGCAAAGCTGTGCTGTGGGAACCCGCTGCAGATGGGGAATGGAGGTGGGTGGGTAATGGCCCACAGGAGGGACCAGAACATGAGATCCCTTTGTCCCCGGGTCAGAGAAGCCCCATCCTTCATCCTCCAGGACTGAATCGCCCCAGGGGCTGGGACCTGTTGTGTTTATCCTCTTTTGCCTGAGGCAGCATGCCCAGGGCGGTTATACTCTGCGTTTCTCACCGTCCTGGTGAAGTTACCCCTTGTTGCCCATTTGCTCTTCTGCATGTAGAGGGGCAAAGGTGGATCCTACCCAAACCTGGAGACCAAAGGGCCTCTGGGGGCTACCTATGATGTTGCCTACGTTATGTACTGCAGCTACTCCTGCTATCTGGCAGGGCAAGGAGCCAAAAGCGTTGGCCAGCTGGGTGGAGCATCGCCCTCCTGGACCAAACCACCATGGTAGCTATGGCTTCTCAGGCGTAATGGGTGATCCGGATTGCCGTGGGAGGGGAGGGCTGCTACCTTCTACCCCCTGCCAGGACGTAAAAAGCACCCACTCCACCCATACTTGTCACTTTTGCCTTGCACTGGAGTCAACCGCAATAAAATCAGCATTTCACAAACAGACGCATCTCTGCAGTTCTGCACATTAATGCTGGATGTTTCACAGATGGTAAGAATGTCTAGTCTAGCTAAAAGCAAAACAAAAGGTCTCTCCTGAACCACAAATCATGCACGATTTTACTGCTTGAGCTCAAGAGCAGTAGGGCAAAAGCCTCTGACCTCCCATCAGCCTCCCATCGTCCTCTTCCCCGACACAGGGCCAGCAAAAGCGCTGGTGCTGGCGGTTGTTCCCTTTCGTTAATCCAGGGACGTGGGTACACACGGCAAAGTCATTTTCCGCAGGACAGAGGGGTTGTCCAAGCAGAGACTGTGCATCTGAATACGCGCTGGGTTAACTCAGCCAGAACAAATTAGGACAAGACGAAAGGGACCAGCAAGGATTTTCCCATTGTTTCTGCCCATTCTTTTTCTCCACACAATGAAATAAATGACTGTAGGCTACATGCACAGGCTGCTCAACCATTTTGACACAAAATTTTTCAGGCTTGAAATCTCAAATAAAAGAGATTTTTTTTGTATTGAATTGTATTTATTTGTATTTCCTTCTGCTCCTAAGCCCTACAGTAAACATCCAGTTGTAATTCTGCATGAAAACAAAGGCCTTGAAACTAAATGGGGGGGGTGGGGGGGTGGGGGGGTGAAATTAGCAACGATTTTTCACATTCTTTTTTTGTTACCATTTTACAGCTTGTTTCTTTATCTCAGTACTTCACCTCGAAAGTTATAAATTTACGTAGTCCGGATTAAAGACCCACTTGAAGGAGGGAGCAACTGGGATGATCTAAACTCCCAAACTAGTCCATCTCCTTGGCACTGGCAGCTGAGACTCCAACGTCCTCCTTTGAATCTTATCATTTACTGCATGTTAGCTTTACCATCATGGTGTGGTTTTTTTTAAAAGGTGAAGAGAGAGTCAGGAGCCTTTCTCTCCAGCCCCAGTTCTGATGTACACACTCAGATGTCTCTACATCTGTATGTCTCTGCACGCTGGATTTTGGTAGCAAGGAACCTGCTGCACCCTGCTGCGAAGGGGTGAGGGAAGTCCTTACCTTCGAGCTACACTTGTACAAGGGGTGGCTGATGGAGTCGACGTAGTGATGCCTCATACAGCGGCTGGGATCGGAGTCGATCATGAAAGAACCGTCTGTTTTACTGTCCGCGTCTCCCATCATTGCCAGGAGCGAAAGCATGGAAATCGAAGCTGCAAGTACATGATTTCCCATTGTCGGGGAACTTCTTGCTGATAACAGCAGAGGGAGGTAGAGCATTAAAAAACCTCCAAATACTGGCAGCCAGTTCCTTTCCAGGATGGTGAAAAGTCTGTTTTAAGTCTCTTAGCTGTCATTCTTCTTCTCCAGTTGGAGTTTGCTGATATTGTAATCCGTCAAAGAATCTCTTGCGTAGCTGGAAGAAAAACAACATAAATCACAATCCTGACCAAAAAGAGCTATGGAGAAAACCAGACATAAATAATATTAAGGAACAGAGGATTTTTGCTAGCCAAAATAGATGCTCTGAGTGAGCATCATTCCTGCAGTAGGTAGCATATATGACATTAGGAAGGAGATGTCAAGGCCTTGTTACTTTAAGCATTGCTCTGTCATTTTACTGGGGAGAACTTTTTGACTTCTAACATCACAAGTGCTGCAATGACAATCTTTTTCACTTGAAGATGTCTCTAATGAGCTCCCCTCAAACTGGTGATTAGTAACACATCAGAGATTTCTGCAAATTAAAAGGACTGTGTATCCACTCAAAGTGTCAGAAAACACCCTCAAGGGGGCAAAGCTAGGCTGCCTCCTGCATTACAGATGGGAATTTCTGGCCCAAGTAGCACATGGAAAGGCTGGAGGCAGGTTGACCCCTGGCTCTAGGGGCTGCGTGTCGGTCTCCTGCAACCCCTGCGCTGCAAGGACAAGGGGCACACCCAGGATGGAGGGACGCCGAGGGTCCGAGCCCGGACATGGGCAGTGCAGTCCCCTGGGAAACTCGCTGACCACCGCCTGGGGACCTGCCCCTCGGTCTCGGGCTGCCCTGCCCTCCGGGGTGCCAAACTCACGTGCACAAAGGTGGGCATGCTTTACTTGCTTACTCATCAGGCTGCACTGGCTGAGTTTCAGTCTCTTCCCCATTAATTAAAGAGCAGCATCTGAAAAATACATTATATTCCATAATATCCAAGTACATCCCAGCTATGCATTAGGAAAAAAAATATACGCAGGTGGAGTCACACAGATTGCCACTCGGGCACCTGGATTCCTGGCGCATGTTGGAGACCAGGAGATCCCCCAGAAAAGAGGCAGAAGGCAGCGCCCGAAACTCTCCCCATAGCTCTGTGCCAGCAGGGAAAGGAGAGCATCTCCCTCAGCTGCTTCATCACAGCCCCTTGATCCTTCTCACGAAGCCCGTAGTCCTACATGGATGATTTAATTTTGCTTCTACTACAAACAGCTACAGCTCAAAAGAGCTGTGAATTATCCGTCCAAATATAAACTGATGAAGCAAAGGATAGTCATAAGTAGAGTTAAAAGCCTGAGGACTTTCTGAAGAAACTTATGATAAGACAGTTCTCTGGCCAGGCAGAACGGCTCCCCCAGAGCCTCTTGCCTATTTAAAGAGCTGATGTGTGCCTTTATTGCCTTATACAAACCTCTTTCAAAACTGTTTTCTGGTTTGCTGATGATATTCTAAACTGATTGATACTCATCTCCCCAATAGCCTGAAATTACGAGGCCTCCCCACCAGAGTGCTTGATGATTCATGCGTTGCTTTATAGCTTGCTCAAACACTTTTGTGAGAGGAGCGCACAGCAGTGAGAAACACTTCCAGAGTTCATCCAAGTTGGGAGTCGGGACTTGTTGGGCTGAAGTGACATACAAAGTCTCATGCTGGGAAGAAATGTAATTAAGGATGCTTTGTATGTTAGACATCTATAAAAGCCTTTTTTTGGTTTCAAACTATTATCCATGTGCCTAAGTAGGAAAGGAAAAATGATGTGACTGTGGATTTAATAGACAATATATTTTTTCTGACCTATGACCTGGTGTATTTTCCTCAAGCAAATGTTTTTCAGTGGATATGGCATTAAAAAAATACTGAGTCTTTGCAGTATAAGGAGCATAATCGACACTAAACACTTAGGATCTCAGATACATTTATGCACAGTCTTATTCATGTCAGTAAATATGCCCCCAAACATTTTAGCAGGGTAAGAGAGAAATCTCTCGGTCATGGGAGCTGGGACAGACCCCTTCCCAGAAGTGAACTGTACTGCTCTGGTTCATGCAGATGATGCCCAAGGATTAGCCAACAGGAGGAGTGATGTGCTTTTGTGTTTGGTTTTTTTTTTTATATTTAACCTTTTACCTACATTCCTATTCTTCTTTAGAAAGAGGCTGACCAAAACATGCTGCTTGGCAAGGTCTCTCTCCAACATAGTTAATCAGTATTACACACCCAGTAATTCCCTTTCTGTCCAAATAAATTTACTTGATGCTGGATGGTCTCATCTCACATCGTGTTACGTCCAGGGATCCCCATTTCCCACTCTCTCTGTCCCACTGTTAATTTTCTGCTTCTATATCTTTCTATGGTTTTGATCAGTATGATTTAATACAGTGAGAGAAATCTGGAGTCCTGGCTCAGTTTTCAAAGACTTATCTCTCTAGTTTTCTTCAGGAAATAATTTGATGACATAGAGTCTGTCTCATGAAAACACTCTCAGAAAGCTAGAAGGAAGCAGGGAAAAATGTGAGAAAAGGAAGACATCTGTACCTTCTTCAGGGTAAGCACAGCACAACAAAAAAAAGTATTAACAATTTCACAATCTTTTAAAATTGCCCTGATACTTCCCTGGCAAAGAAACGTAGGGGGTTTTGGTAATAAAACTTTGAAAGAAGGAAAAAAGTACTATTATCACATATTTGTTAGTAAAAAGAGAGACCACAAATGTAAATAGGACCCATCTTCTGTGAAAAAAACTGTGTACAGTTGTTGATAGACATACTGGCAAAACAAGTGTGTAGGTACTGGGAGCAGGACTGCAGACAACAGTGGGCTATTTGCACATGCCAGTATCTCATGACATACTTATGTGAAGTCTACACATACATTTTTCAAGTACATATGCCATATATAACTGAGTCATATGGAAAAAAAGTCTCACAGGGACATTTGAACATATAGAAGTTAGTGTGTAGATTTTTGACTGTGTAAAAAAAGTCTAAATATTTTCACCCAGGTACATCATTGTGATGAAGTATATTGACATGACATTTTCCATTTCCAGCTGATATTGTGCAATGGCATTTCACTTTAAATGAACATTCTTTTTTTTTTTTTTAAAGGTTGTATTCCTTTTGAAATGCTATCTGAAATTATAAAATCCTAGACAGTACATGATATCAGGATTGATATATGTAGTTTCCAGACTGTCCTTCTGTCTAAAACCAGAAGCAATGGTTTAGACCTGTAATCTTTAATCATTATAGCTGTACTTATGATGACATTTTGTTTCATTTGGAAAATACACTTTTTAATCAAAATCAATAATTTCACATAGAATTTTTTTTCTTTTATTTAAGCTGTTTTTTCCTCAGTTTCTTTTCATGTGAAAAACTGTGGTAAACAGCCTGTCTGCCAAGCTAACAAGAAGGAAGCTAAAATGCTTCCTCTTACATCAACCTGTAAAGAAAAAGATGCGAAGGTGACTTCGTATTCTCAGGCTGAAAACTGGCTACAAAAATATTTGGCCTAACAGTGGATGAAAATCACTACTTCCCATTTTTTCAGAATTCACTGATATGGGCATTACAGGTTGTTAATGATAAGCTTATAGCACCCTTTCCATATAACTGGTTTTCAGGAATTCACAGAGACATAACATGCTAAAAGCTGTTACAGCTGTTACCTAAAACTGCTACAGCTGGGTTTTTTAGGTACAGCTAAGAACTGCAGGGAAAGATAGAAGACATCCCAAAGAAAGACCAAATGAACATACAATCCGAGACTGTATTCCACATGGACATAGGGGCAGAGTTAGGGCTATTTTTCCAATGTTATGTTGTTATTAACTGCTTTTTGAATGATGAAATAAAGATTTCTTATCATAGTCTTAATATCACCACTTAGAGAGTGGTGAAGGTTAAAATTTTGTTTTGCTTTAAAGACAGAAGAAAATTCCATCATCTGGAATTATTTAGCCAGTCACTTTGTGAGAACGTAAACAGAAATTCCCTTTTTGCTATGTATCTTGGAAAAAATAAAGAGCTGAGCAATTCTCCAAAGGTCTGTTGGATCTGCACCGCTTTTACCCTGGAAGGTAGGAAGGGAGCAATGGAAAAGCTCATTTATGGTGTACTTCTACTTAGCTGTTCCCCGCTCCTGAGCCCCCTGAATTAGGCGTGCACGTATGTTCAGCTTGGCCTTCGTTTGCTGTGTATTTTCCATGTTTGAGACTCCTGCTTGATGACGAGGGTACAGTTCAAGTCATTCAATGCCTTCTATGTTTTGAGGCTGCCAAAACCCCATCGGAGCAGCAGGGTGTATATATAACTAAGCCTGGCCTTGCATGCTGTGCATATTTAGTAAACACAATTACTTGGATCCTACCATGTGCTCCCCTCATTCTGAATTTGTTATGTAAACAGAAGAGTTACAAGACTACCCCGTTTCCCCAAACTCCAGCCTTAAAAAAGTGTCACTACCCATATATGTGTATATGTGTGTGTGTGTGTGAGTAGTTTGCCTTTGCTGTTCTGAGAAAAAAGCCACAAAGACCTTTATGAGAACAAAACGGATTTCTCAAGAACTTTAATCTGGAAAAGTTTAGGCCAGAAAGATGAGGATCTCGGGGGTTTCCGCTCCAAGATCGGGGCTGGAGTGGAAACGACCGTGTTGGGCAAACTACACCATCATGTTACACCAGGGTTTGTTCTGCAGGGCTAAACTCCCCACTGCCATGAGAAGGGCCATGGAAGGGGCTGGGCATGGGAAGGCAAGGAGGATCAAACTGTGCTGGAGACGACCCCCAGTCCCCCAGCCCTGGGCATGGGGTAGCACTCTGGTGTCCCCCCTGTGGCCGCCTGGCCACGGTGCTAGCACAGCTCGCGGTGACCCGTCACTGGGATTCCTGAATAACAAATCTGTGCTTTCAGAGAACCTGGGGAACCATTGTTTCTGCTCCTGCAATGAGCTGCCAAGGCCTCAGCTGGTCATCGGCTGGGGGGCCACCTGCCTACAGAGCCGCCCCACGCTCAACCACAGCTCCCAGTCGACAGCGGCAGCTGGACTGCCCTTTTGCCTTTCTCCCAAAGCCGTGTGTGTTATTCTGCACATCCA